AGTATATCATTATAGTGATGTATCCCATTGTAAATCATTATAGTGATGTCTGCATTGTAAATCATTATAGTGATGTCTACATTGTAAATCATTATAGCGATGGCTACATTGGTAGTCAATTATGCTGATGTGTACATTTTAAAGCAACATATAATGAAGCATACACTGCATTGTAAACCATTATAGTGATGTCTGCATTGTAAATCGTTATAGTGATGTCTAGATTGTAAATCATTATAGTGATATCTGCATAGTATATCATTATAGTGATGTAAATCATTATAGTGATGTATGCATTGTATATCATTATAGTGATGTCTACATTGTAAATCCTTATAGTGATGTCTGCATTGTATATCATTATAGTGATATCTACATTGTAAATAATTATAGCGATGGCTACATTGGTAGTCAATTATGCTGATGTGTACATTTTAAAGCAACATATAATGAAGCATACACTGCATTGTAAACCATTATAGTGATGTCTGCATTGTAAATCGTTATAGTGATGTCTAGATTGTAAATCATTATAGTGATATCTACATTGTAAATAATTATAGCGATGGCTACATTGGTAGTCAATTATGCTGATGTGTACATTTTAAAGCAACATATAATGAAGCATACACTGCATTGTAAACCATTATAGTGATGTCTGCATTGTAAATCGTTATAGTGATGTCTAGATTGTAAATCATTATAGTGATATCTACATTGTAAATAATTATAGCGATGGCTACATTGGTAATCAATTATGCTGATGTGTACATTTTAAAGCAACATATAATGAAGCATACACTGCATTGTAAACCATTATAGTGATGTCTGCATTGTAAATCGGTATAGTGATGTCTACATTGTAAATCCTTATAGTGATGTCTGCATTGTAAATCGTTATAGTGATGTCTAGATTGTAAATCATTATAGTGATGTTTACATTGTAAATCATTATAGTGAAGTCTACATTGTACATCATTATAGTGATGTCTGCATTGTAAATCGGTATAGTGATGTCTACATTGTATATCATTATAGCGATGGCTACATTGGTAATCAATTATGCTGATGTGTACATTTTAAAGCAACATAGTGAAGCATACACTGCAGTTAAATTAACCAGACAGTACGTATTATTTATCGATAAAACAGTCAATATTGACAAGATTTCCGCCCTACTCTGTATTGTGCTGGACTTGCTTTAGAAGGGGATTTAATCGTGATATATTCCTATCTGTCAGTCTAGTATCACATTAGTATAATTTCCGTGTTCGACCCCATTTAGGACCCTTGTGAGTCACACGTTCCTCTAGCACAGGGTTACAAAATATAGGTTAGTCGTTTATTAAATTACACCGAGAATAAAATTTCCATTTCCGGTCTCAAGTAAATCATTCGGACATGCCGAAATATGAATCTGTTTACAATACTTCAATATACCTCTTTTGGTTATTTGTGGTCAGTCGAGCGCCAGATATGAAGGGCGTGACTCTATACAAGTGTTCTGATTTTTGGACACTAATTGAGTTCGGGAATCCAATCACGAGTACAATTTCCGTAAACAAGGGAAAATAGCAATATTACGTCCGACCAAAAATATATTATTATACATGTTCAGCATGTTGTTCTTAGCTAGAAATAGTCTGTATTCGTTCAAAAATAATCAGAGATACTAATAACGTCCATTCGGACATCTCAGAGAATGGGAGTATATCAAATAGTTAAATTTCCTTTTGTTTGTTTGTTTGATTTTGTTTAACGTCCTATTAACAGCTAGGGTCATTTAAGGACGGCCTCCCCTGGGTGCAAGATGCATGCATGTAGTGTATGTGTGTGTATATTGGGAGGCTGCGATATGTTCGTGTTTGTCTCCTTGTGATAGCGCGAAACTGATGCCGACTTTATAGTGCTACCTCACTGAAACATTCTGCCGAAGACACCCAGCAGGACGCCCCACCCGGTCACATTATACTGACAACGGGCGAACCAGTCGTCCCACTCCTAATTTGCTGAGCGTTAAGCAGGAGTATAAACTACCATTTTTAAAGACTTTGGTATGTCTCGGCCAGGGGACAGAACCCAAAGCCTTCCTCACAGGGGCGAACGCTCAACAAATGGCCAAAAGTGAGGCATTGTCAAGGGAGACATTAGGAAGAAGAAAGTTATTTAGAAAGGAGAGAAGAGATAAGGTCCCAAATTTAGTCGCCTCTTACTAAATTTCCTTCATTCCCAGTCGATGTTTTTAATCATCATATACAATTTAATACATGTTTTTCCAATTAATACGGATTTGTATATGTTTAAGCACCATTAACTTGACCTTATTTAGACAAATCAAGTACACTCACGAGACAGAAAAACAAACTCGGCGGTGCGTCTATATTAGGCAAAGATGACGAAAAGTTAAATTAGGACGTATTTTTATGCTATGCTTATTTGAAACGGTTGGAACTCATACAGAGCGTTTACGACCACGGACATTAACGTTTGTGGTATTAACCTAACAATAACCTCAAATGAGTTAAAACTGAAACCATGAAAATGACTCACGTCTAATTACCACGGTAATTAATTTACCATTGGTGTAAAACTTATATACCTTCGAATACGAGTGTAAACCGAGGCCGTTTCTAAAATTACAGCAGTCTCTACTTCTATAAAATATCCATCAAATTTCAGATTTAAATAACGACTTACGTTATACTTGTGGTTATCATTTATCAGTGTTGGAATTAGCTAGCAGTTCCTAAAATTGTCATTCACAATATAGATATTTTACCTGTTTCTTAGTAAAATAATGATTTAGAAGGACAATGCACAGAAGGGGGTGTTTGTCGTTATCTTAAACATTCATTTATGGAACTTTTGATTTTGGTTTTTTTTTTTAAGGTTGAGTCGTACGTCATCGTAAATAAGAATGTATTGTTAATTGTAGTAACGGGCCTGTCAATATATTGAGCTCACAATTATAACGAAAATTGTTTTTTAATTCGATATTCCCTGATCGGTCACGTATATAGTTCTGATCCTATCTTCACTTTATGCTTCATTGTAAATTAGTATCGTTAGGTACCTCAGTTAAGACCTAAATTTCATCAAAATCTTAGTCGAGTAACAATACAAGCGTGGGAAGGAGGGGGTATGTATTCCCTTTCCCCGAGTAAGATTTATCTCTTGACCTTAGTTTAATCAGTAGATTTACCCTGTAGACATACAGATTATCTTTATCTCATAACAATCCTGTCAAAGACACCAATTCGTGACGTGTCAACACGATAATTGTCCAAATGAAATGTTAGTTTTGTCAGTTAAGTTGGTGAGTATATTTACACGATTAAGTGGCTTTTTTCAGGCCATAGTAATTTAATCCGTATAATATACAATACGGCACTTACGTAATTGTTGTATTTAATATAAACTCGGTAGTAGGTGTTCCTATATATACAAAAATAATTACAGACGAAATCATAGCAAGATCAGGGATGCTAATCTAGCCATGTCAGGATTAAAAAGAACGTAAAAGGTGAAAATAATAGTTAGGAAATAATAAAAAAAAATGCAGCATATTTAATTTCCAAAAAATATATCAATAGTTATGTTGGTATGTAAACACAATTCACGGGGTTCGATCAAAGATATACTGACAAACGCTAAATAGATGAAGTTGAGGGTTAATGTTTTTTTTATCCTATTAAACTAAACAGACCTATTTCTGTCCCATTATATTAGACTGACGAATCAGTTATCAGTTTCAAAGAGAAAGAGGTAATGACTGAGACGAGATATGAAAGAAATACAGCCCAGTAGAAAATACGGTTGTGTACCGGCAGTCGTTCATATCATATCAAAATTTACCAAAAAAATTACTATAATTGCATATTAGCAGTTATAGCGTGCACACTTTACAGTGATAAAGTGTGTAACAAGAGTGCAGTTTTATGTATGTAAGGGTTTAAACATTTAAACACAACACGCTGGTATGGCCTGGTTGCTCAAAACTTTAATACAGTAGCTAATAACAACCAAAATAATTACACTACTAAAATAATACAAAACATGGCATAATAACCAAACTTGATTTTTTGATATTCTAAATGGTCATCTAAGGAAAAGGAATGCTTTTTTTGTCAAAAGTTCAAAAAGTTGAACAAGTACCAGCTAAAGTCCTCGATAATCGTTCTGGTGATTTGTTTGTCTGTGTATATGTATAATATACATTTCAACCTTTACAAAATATTGTGAGTTTTCGATATTTTTAATTGATCAGGCATTAAACTACATGTCCATCCTAACTCAATAATACATAGAACTGATAATGTTAGACCCATTAATACATAGAACTAATAATGTTAGACCCATTATTACATAGAACTGATAATGTTAGACCCATTAATACATAGAACTGATAATGTTAGACCTAATTTAAATAGTATTGTTTTCAAATAACGACCGAATGGAAGCTTTACAAAAACAGGGACACTTAAATTGTATCCTCATAACCTCTAAGATTATGTTCATATTTAATTCAACCTGCAACCTATCCAATATATAAATATAGGAATGTACAATAGTCTTGATATTTCTAGTCCCAGGGCCATGAAACATTTTGACTTTTGAAGTTGATAATTAGAGTAGTACATAGTTATTTTTCTTACGTATATATACTTAAGAAAAGTAATTATGTACTAATCTAATTTATTGAAGGCTTTCACTAAAGAGCTAGTTTCCGTAAGAGGATTTCCTCCAACTTAAACAAGTTACACTGAGACTATATGAAATATCATTTCATGATCCTTTGGAATAGACATAACTTTAGGTGACTTACCGATACCAAGGATCTTCCTCATGGAGAAGTCGGTCTGTGAGGAACACATCGTGACGGTAGAATATCCGGAGAACTAATACACACAGTAATGATCTTTCAAATGTAAATATATTATGATAACCAACAGCGAATTCCGACCCTTTTATTACCCAAAATTTGAGCAATTCTAATTTTGAGTAAATAGACCGGATTTTCATTGGATCGCGCTGATAAAAGTAAATAATAAAATAAACAAGTTATATATACACTATCAGTATGTGTTTTATTAGTGTGTTTAATTAATGCAGTAAGCGGGTCCCATTGAAGAATACTGTCCAAATGACAATAGCATTAGGCTATGTACACTAATCGCTAAGAATACATGGGGAAACCATGTCCGTATTTACCTGTGTTGGGTATCAACACGTGATCGACGGCCCGGGGGTGGGGGGATACTCACGGTCTAGTGGATAGACACATCGAACAATATGTGTACACGCCAGGACGTAAAAGATACACAGCCAACCGTCACAATGCAATTGTGATAATTATATTACAATGTGCTTTTGTTTTGTCCTGATTGGTAAAACAATATCGAAAACAGTGTCTATTTCATTGGTTTGATTGACACAACAAATAGTACTTAAATATATTTTGTAACAATTGATATGATTTTAATTATAAATGCAATGTATACCTCTGACATGATTATGTAAATATTTTGACAATTTTATTTATGGTATCACATTTTATTTCCAACTGTTTTAATCACAATTGTTTTAATCACAAATATTATGCTCCAACTTTTTTATGAAATATGATTTGTTTATTTTGTTTTGTGTGTGTGTATAATTTAAACTGTATATCAACAATTTTAAGCTATAAGAAAAGATAACATAAAAAAAAAGAAATAACAAAATTCATTTATTTATTCCTCACAACAGTCAATGTGTAAGGGAGACAACTCTAACACACCTTCATCATCAAAGAGACCCCTCTTTTCAATAAACGTTCACAACAAACTAATATCAGAAAAACTCTCACGATAAATCCAACATCAAACTTGTATCCACACAAGTGTTTAGTTCAAGTAGGACTCTCATACTGCAAAAAGTGAATGAATCTTTTCAAAAAATAACGAAAACACACTTCATACAGATAATAATCATGCTACATAGTATTTGTTTCTAGCTCTCCCACCGTAGGCCTATATATTGATTACATATTGCTACACATTTCAAGCATAAAAAATAAACATTTTGTGTTGTTTTTTTTCTCAAATATTTCTCTGATGATAATTGTACAAATTATGATTTAGATATCTATCCAAGTTTTGCTTTATACACGAGAAATGTTTCAAGACCGACCGGTCCCTTTGCTAGGCAGTTAATCTTGAAACGTTGTGTCACGTGCGTTTGACACATACAATGCCGGATCATAAAATCAATGCATTTTTAAGGTGGGTATTTTTCTGAAATTTTCTTTGCAAAAACATTTCAAGCAAATAAATCAAAACTATTTATTTTTAAAATGATATTTTTCATGTTCAATTTAAACTGAAAGAGTTACTAAAAACTATCTGTATTAATCTATAAAATAGCAAACTTTGATTTCATGTGAGAAAGATTTGATTGTGAAAACAAACACCTTTTCAAGCTATTGCTCTACATACTGATCTCATACCAAATCATTTTGAAATCTGATAACAAACGTAACAGTTTATACAGAAAATAACTTGGTAATCCTGGAAATCAGAGTTGATCAAGGAGGATCAAGTGTAAAATGTACAGTCAGAACTTCATTAATCTAATTCTATCACGAGAATTGATTTTAGCAGATTAATATTCAGAATCTCAAATCATTTTCAGTGACAGTTGCTGTTCCATTTATCGGTAATTTTGTACAGTTTGTTTGGAAAATAGCAAAAAGTCTTGATACAAAGTTTGCCCCTGAACCTGTTTCAGGAGTGAGGAGAGAGGTTAGCTTATTTTCACCATCACATTGACATTATTAAACTACAGTTACATTCAACAGTAATATTTACAAACGATAAGATTGTTTGAAAATGAATTTAGACAGCAGCAGAATAAAACGTTCATAAAATTCTACCAAACAGAAGCAAGACTTGAAATCATCAAATTACTCCACACAAGTTGGTTATACTTCAGTAATATCCTAATATATATACTGTGTCATGTATATACATATATATAGAGCTATATTTTCAATTATAGTATATCAGTTCTATCTTCTTGTAATATGATGTATATGTACATGTAACTGTTCTGTTTGACACTGTGTCTTGATAAAGGATATAACTTATTTCCATTATATATAATATACATATCATTATATAACCTATTTCCATTATACATAATGTATATTACTTTATATAACTTATTTCCATTATATATAATGCATACTACTTTATATAACTTATTTCCATTATACATAATGCATATTGCTTTATATAACCTATTTCCATTATACATAATGCACATATCATTATATAACTTATTTCCATTATGTATAATGTACATATCATTATATAACTTATTTCCATTATACATAATGTAAATAAGTTATATAATGATATGTGCATTATGTATAATGAAAATAGGTTATATAATGATATGTACATTATACATAATAGAAATAAGTTATATAAAGTAGTATGCATTATATATAAGGGAAATAAGTTATATAAAGTAGTATGCATTATATATAATGGAAATAAGTTATATAATGATATGTCCATTATACATAATGCATATTGCTTTATATAACCGATTTCCATTATACATAATGTATATATCATTATATAACGTATTTCCATTATACATAATGCAGATTGCTTTATATAATCTATTTACATTATATATAATGTATATTTCTTTATATAATTTATTTGCCTTATACATAATGCATATTGTTTTATCTAACCTATTTCCATTATACATAATGTATATATCATTATATAACTTATTTCCATTATACACAACACAATGTACAACATAATAAGTGGGTTCCACTGTACCATCTTACTGATCGATCCATTATACAATGTATATAAAATGTAAAACCATGACTTATTTGTAACTAATTCACATTATATATAATGTTAATACCAATACCATTATATAAAGCATGTCTACTTTACATATTTTTTTATATATAAATTATTACATATAATGTATATCATATACATTATACACAATGTATATGAATTATATACACTGTAACTTATTCCCATCATGCGTGGAACTTATTTACGTACATCACAAAACATATTACATATCTTTAACTTATAGACAGAGTAAACACACAATAACTACAGTAGTCTAATCCACTTCATACGTTCCTCTATCTTTTACACCGTGGTCGAAATATTCAACCAATTTAAACAATTCTTACATCACCTTATCCCTTACACTTACTGAGTTGTCCGAGGACAACACAGAGCTGATATTGTCACATTTAGGAGTTGTAAAAATGAAAATAATTTCATAATCAATCTAAACGAAATATTCTTAAGTTTGTTTTGAATGACTCTGTGATTGAACGTAAGAATAGTTAAAATTGCTTGGAATATTTCTCTCCTAATCTTAAAAGGCAGAAAGCACTATAAATCACAATACAGGGTATATGTAATATATCTACATAGAACATGAGTAAATAATAACAAACAACTCATAAATCTTTGTTTTGTAAAATAACATGAAAATATATTAATAACACTACCACTTTTTTACGCTAAATGATGTTATACTCATCTCAATCACCCGGGGCAACTCTATCACCCGCCCCAATCTCAATCACCTGCCCCCATCTCAATCACCCGCCCCCATCTCAATCACCCTATCCCAAAATGCAACATTTCCCTCTCCCATCTTTGACCAAATTGTCTCCCATATTTTTCTGTCACCCTGACATCGTAATCAGCCCTTGAAAGGAAAGGCTGTGTGCAGATCAAGACAACTGCTGAAAACTATTGTTTTTAAACATAGTATTGGAATGATGGGAGAAAAAATGGCACATATCTTGATGGTGTTATAGATACAGATATCTCCAACCCCCAGGATGATTATTTGGTTGTCTCTTTGGTTTGAAATTTCTCTGTCAAGGTCGAGGTAGATTCTATTAATCCCTATCTCATTCATCGGGGCCCCCCTTCCCCACCCCGACATCGCAACCATTTCCAACCCTATCTTAACCACTCTTACTCCCCTTATCCCTCCATTTAATACTTTCTCACAATGGTTTTGATTATATATAAACAAAAACAAAACAAAAACCAGCAACACACCAAAAAATGAACAGAAAAACAATATCAATGACACTGTATACAACAAATAAACACTGGTCCTTTATAGTGAAATGGGCAACAAACATCAGTTTCTGATATCAAGTACTGTATACAAGGACATTTACCCCAGTTTAACTTTCAAATATGTTTTGCCCTCTGAAACAAGGGCAAAATAATCAGGCAGTAAAAGTTAGTACACATAATACCTTGTTTAGTAATTACATGTCAAGGGAGAAATTAACACTGGGTGAATACTGTAGACTGGGAAATTTTCGCCCAGTGTTAATTTCGCTCTTCGTCCATAAAATCATTTTTCGCCCGGTGTTAATTTCGCTCTTCGTCCAAAAATCAATTTTCGCCCGGTGTTAATTTCGCTCTTCATCCATAAAATCAATTTTCGCCCGGTGTTAATTTCGCTCTTCGTCCACAAAATCAATTTTCGCCCAGTGTTAATTTCGCCCTTCACATTTAATTGTTATGTTTATTGTGTTGTTTACTTATCATAGCTGTCATTACACAATCACAATGGGAAGGCTAAAAAAAAGCTCAAAATTTAACTGCAGCAAAAAATTCCCAGCATACAGTATTTTGATAACAGCTGTTCAGTTTTAAAGGAAACAAAATGAATGACGTTTAAGACTATGTATGCATTAACGAGTATTTTGAAAGATATTTTTAATATCAACTTAAACATATTACCGGTATATAGTAAGCTTTGTAATAAATCCAATACTACTTAAAGCATAAAACATGGCAATCGATGGCTGTATATACATTTGTATGTCTTGTTCAACCTCTATATCTCAAAATCTGCAATGTATATACACTAATATCTATACATCATACATTATATACACTTATTAATCTACATTATATATATATACAGAACAATAATAATTCATTTAAATATAGTAACATTTTACAGTAACATAGAGGTCATGTAATTGCACAACATTATCAGGCTTATAATGAAAGACATTTGTAAAACTAAAAATAAAGGGCTATTCCATAATTCATCATATGGGGGAGGTGGGAGGCACTTGTATTAACATATTATGGGTGGTGGGGTTAAAACCAGATCTGTGTACCATTCCTTATATTAGATCACTTTTAATATTTCATGGGTGGTGTGGTCTCTGAAAAAGTGCCTCCCTACCTCCCATTATTCCTGGAACGGCCTTACTATTTACTTGAAGCAAGATGTTGACTTTAAATCAACAAATTTCTCCTAGTTGGCCCCACCTCTGCCCCCAGGGCGGCCACACTTACAGTTTATACAAAATTGAGTCCCCTTGGCCAAAGGATGCACCAGCCCAAATTAGGATAAAATCCCTTTGATAGCTTCTCATATGGTCAACAAACCAGACTTAGCAAGCAATGATGCTGTGATATGTCACGGTCATTGATAAAGTGAAGTTCTGAGCCCTGGTCCCTCTACCTTACACTCAGAACCAGAGATGAAGTTCTTTATTTTCTTCCACAGATCTCACATGGACTATTCCAGACTACCTAGCAGTACAAATGGGTACCAAACTACATCGAAGTAAATATGCCATAGACAGCTGAAGACAATTCATATAGGCTTAACCTGTTGTTTAATCTTATCAATAAATTTGCTGAAATAGACAATTCGCATCATGTAATTAAGGGTAGAGTTTGTTCCTTAAACTGGGGCTAATCTGAGTTATTTTTTTATCTATTATGCTACAGAAAGGGTTGCCATTTTCTATATGTCTCTCACCAGTTTATCTGTTTATGACAGGTTACTTGGTATTCCTCAAGGGCTCATCTTTAAAAAGCAGTTAACTAAAAAAAAACCAGTTTTTACCTTTAATATTATCATTTTATGTACATTATTGTAAAAGGAGCGAGTAAATGCACGGACAGACTTTGAGGTTCAAACCCAGGACCTTCGGAACTATAGACAGACACTCTCAGCAATTGAGTTACATGTTCACCAGCAGTTGAACCAGTTCAGTTCTGCTACATAATTATCCCTCAAACACGTTTGTATGTAATTAACATGTCTAAACATATTTATGAATTATGACATAAAGTGATAGGTATAATTGCACAAAATTAGTAAGTGGTTCATTTATATTTATAGTAATGTATGACACAATGTGTTTATTTATAGCAACATATCACATGATGAAACTGGTATATGAACTAATGCCTTTCAAATAATGATCCATAACTTCATGCAACATTTAACAACATGTTAACATGACAAAACAAGGGACCTTTTCAAATTCAAATAAGTTCTCCTTGGACAAATATCATATGACCTATTGTATTATGCCTACAAGTCACATGACAGATCACATGACCAGTATCTATATGCAAAGTGAAAACAGCAGACAGGTCATATTCAAACATGACAGGTGGGTTTTTGTTCTGGGTTCGTATAATATGTGTAGATCACACAAGCAAATCACTAGACCTGTTGCTATGGGAACAGATCACATGGCCAATAGCTACTTGTACTGGTGAATCACAGAGAGATATTCTTTGTCTGGGTAGAATGCCACACACAAGTTACGCATGAGCGTGAAGACATCCCGCAGACAATGATGTTCGTTCATCACAAGATCACACGCTGACTGGATCTCGCTGCGATGCTGCTGGTATTGTTTATTGGACTTCAAGGCCTGAAGAGCTCCAACCTCAGTCTTTGCCTGTGAGGTGTTGGCAAGTGGTTCATTTGGCTGCATGCGCAGTACAGTTTCTCCGTATATCTGTGAGGATACCAGCGCGGACAGACTGCGGGCAATGACACGAAATCTGGAAGGGAAATCAAACATTAATTCAACAAAACATTCTTATTTTAAAACAGCAATACTCCGCTATGAAATTTGACATCATCATGTTCACAGATGTTAGCAAGGTCACAGTGTTAACAGTGTGTTAGCATGGTCACAATGTTAACAGTATATTAGCAAGGTCACAATGTTAACAGTTTGTTAGCAAGGTCACAATGTTAACAGTATGTTTAGCAAGGTCACAATGTTCAAAGTATGTTTAGCAAGGTCACNTGTTAGCAAGGTTACAATGTTCACAGTATGTTAGCAAGGTCACAATGTTCACAGTATGTTTAGCAAGGTCACAATGTTCACAGTATGTTAGCAAGGTTACAATGTTCACAGTATGTTTAGCAAGGTCACAATGTTCACAGTATGTTAGCAAGGTCACAATGTTCACAGTGTGTTAGCAAGGTCACAATGTTCACAGTGTGTTAGCAAGGTCACAATGTTCACAGTGTGTTAGCAAGGTCACAATGTTCACAGAATGTTTGCAAGGTCACAATGTTAACAGTATGTTAGCAAGGTCACAATGTTCACAGTTTGTTAGTAAGGTCACAATGTTAACAGTATGTTAGCAAGGTCACAATGTTCACAGTTTGTTAGTAAGGTTACAATGTTCACAGTGTGTTAGCAAGGTCACAATGTTCACAGTATGTTAGCAAGGTTACAATGTTCACAGTGTGTTAGCAAGGTCACAATGTTAACAGTGTGTTAGCAAGGTCACAATGTTCACAGTGTGTTAGTAAGGTCACAATGTTCACAGTGTGTTAGCAAGGTTACAATGTTCACAGTATGTTAGCAAGGTCACAATGTTCACAGTATGTTAGCAAGGTCACAATGTTAACAGTGTGTTAGCAAGGTCACAATGTTCACAGTGTGTTAGCAAGGTCACAATGTTCACAGTTTGTTAGCAAGGTCACAAGTTATAAACTTTAATTATGAAACAAGTTATTTCAACTTATATTAATCACTCTTGTTAGCCCGTATGTTAGCGCGTGGGAGGTCTAAGTGTGGGAGGAAACCAGAGTACCCGGAGAAAACCCACGTGGTCGGGCAGGTGACCCCAACCTTGTCCGATCGGGGAATCAAACCCCAGCCGCCTGGGTGAAAGGCAACTGCGCTATCCACTGCACCACCCGACCACTCCACTTCAGCTGTGCATATTTTATTTTGGAAGTTTCATTCATGTTATCATGATGATCAAGAGAATGAAGCTGGACCAATGTGACTGAAAGAAGGTCCTGCTAGAATGTCAAAACAGGTTTCTCTGTTTCTAAGGAGACTGCCAAAACAGGTTTCTCTGTTTCTAAGGAGCTAGCTAGACTGCCAAAATAGGTTTATCTGTTTCTAAGGATAGTGTGTTCTACGTATCCCGATTCTTACTTGATGGAGAGTGTGGACCGTTTGCCGAAACCAATAGCCCCAAGGATTCCAGTCGAGGCTCTGTCCTCTCCCAGCTGGTGTAGGGATGCCACAAAGGCATTGAGAGTTTTGATGCAGTCTGCATGCTTGGTCCTGAAGTCTAGCTGTAGAAGCACAAGTTCTAGGAGCTTGAAGCACAGCAGCATTAGCTTCGACTCATTTTCAGCACTAAAACAAAGAAATGGAGTTGAGTTTTCACAATCACTGTTAGCATACTTATGTTAGTACACTTAATATTTTAGCGTACAAAGGGATTTCAACTTAATAGCCCACTCTTAAATTAGCAGAATCACAGTACCAACATACTGGTGTATATTTAGTGCAAGTGTTGTTGTCTAAAATAGACTACAACATAATACGTTGTGTACAGTAGGTGTATAGCACTGTAAGCCAGGTACATCGGCTGAGAATCTGACACCAAAATAGAGGGTTTCTTTCATGTATGTATGCAAGTGAGTTGGCATTTAGTCCTGTGAAATCTTTCAAATTATGGTTAGGATATAGTCTGTGCTATATGGTCTAATTTTAGCAACAAACATAAATCAGCAGACAAGACATAGCATGAAAACAGCTTAAATAAGTACATCGTTAAAACTGATATGCTTACAGTATTATAAGATGTCTATGAAAGGGAAGAAATTATTTGCAATCATTGGCTTCATCTTTTTAATACTCCAGTCCATGTTAGATTGATGTTATTAATCATAGTCAGTGTGGTCTGTAAGAATGAAGACCTAGGCCCCTTTCACATATCTGTTTCAACCGGTTGGTCTGTTTTTAAGAGAAATCCTAGCAGACCTGCAAATGTTTATGCAGGCCTTGCAAGGCTTTGTCAAGGCTCGTCTGAAAGCATCACCAGATTACTAGGTACAACCTTATTTCTAACCCAAATGTTCAACCGATTCAACCGTTTTAATCATAATAAAGGAATGTAGTCAAAATAACAGATGTCTGGATTTACTGTTCAAAATCAATGTAGTATTTGTGGATTTTTTTGAGTGTAGAACACCCCTACACAATTCTGATCAAGTGCAGCACAGCTGTACAGCTTACTTAAATTCTCAAATTCTTAGAATCTCAAAAAGAAAGGATAAGCAACATCACTAGTTCCTGTCCAACATCACTAGTTCCTGTCCAACATCACTATAGTTCCTGTCTAACATCACTAGTTCCTGTCCAACATCACTAGTTCTTGTCCAAAAATTACATTTCCTTGACTCTATCCACAGTGCGGACATGTTTCGGCCTAAACGTTTTTGGAACAATGAAGAGTTTGTGAGGTAAGAAAATTGATGGTTATTGGACTGAAATGTTGTGATCTAAATTCATTGTGTAATTTTTCAATTCTTGCCTATATGACTTACGTAGGTTTGGCTTTATTGATCCAGGTCAGTATAATGTTTACGAGGTTTGAGAATTGTGCAACGTCTTGACAGAGAGGCTGCTGGAGGACACAGTATCCGTACAGCAGTAGATACGACTCCTCTTGTAGGGCGGTCTCGAGGAACTCTTCAGTGTTCAAGTCCGGTATCTGTATAGCCGCTAACACCTGGTCCCAGCCTCCACCCGCAGTCTGGTCCATCCCTACGGCACGGAGTCACATAGGTTTTATAAATAATCGTCGAGAAATTGTCAGATTAAACAAACATTCAACAATACTCTCAACTAAATACTATTTACGGGTAGCTTTCAGCAACCTCCCGATTTGTTTATAATTGATCGGTAAGATAATGAATATTTTTATTTTAAATATTCTGAACTCAAGTCAAGAAGCCACACATATCAAGCATACATAAATACTTCACTATTAAAGTATAAAGCCAAGGTAACAACACAATTATGATTGGACAGTCCCTTCAGAAAACCTTTTCAGACACTCTGTTATGGCTTATTACAATGAATACTGTAATATCCTTCTTACCTCCCTTGAAGTAAACATGGATACATTCCTCCACGATGCGTACAATCTGTGTGTGGGAGGCGAGGCAACGCGATGCAGCCTTGACACAAGGCAACAGGAGGATGCTTCGTGGTGATGACTGCAGCCACTCGACAACCGTTGTCATGACAACATCCAGGGAATTGTTTTCCGGGTTACAGTTGTTGAGTAAACCAAAGATTTCTTTGACCAAATCTAAAGTTTCATCTCGTTGCATTCTCAAATCCACCACTACAATGAATGACATCTCAAATATAGAAAAGTATGTAACTAGATCCCTAACACTCATAACACTTCAGCAAGGGCCCCACAGAGTGTCCACAAATGGTCTCTAAGTGCCTCTGCTTTGAAAAGAACAGGAGAACACGGATTCCTAGTCAATTGCACTACCAACTGAACTAATGGGAAATTCCCTCCTAGTCAATTGCCCTACCAACTGAACTAGTGGGAAATTCCCTCCTAGTCAATTGCCCTACCAACTGAACTAATGGGAAATTCCCTCGTACTAATAAAGGTCATATGTAATCAACAAACAGTTTTTAATGACTTACCAGTATTCTGATATCTACAAACAGTTTTTACATGCTTATTTTCCCTTACACACAATAATTCTTGTTGATACTCATATACGTACCAAACTGTCTCATCCATGACAGTTTAATTTACTGTGAAAAAAACTTTCTCTCAGTCAAATATTTGCCCTCTACCATTGAAATCCATATTTGCCAAGTATTAATTTTGCTCTGGGCATATATCTTCTATCTATATGATATTGTTTTACTAATATTTGCTGTCATGATAAATTTTCTCTCATTACCGAGAGCGAAAAAGTTAAAAGTTAAAACGCACTGAACACTTCCCGCTAACAGTATACCATTGGTATGTGATTTCACTTTGATCCAGTGTAACCATTTGTATATAGAAATTCAATGCTTAATTTCCCAAGTAGCCTCGAAATGTTCTGAGTTAAACATTTCAGTGAAAACTCTGGACTATCTAACTTTGTAACAATTTGAAGCCTGTGCTAATTATACAGTACCTGAAGCACCGACAGTTTCCGTCTCCGTCATGAGGTTAAGAATGGCAGTGGACAGATTGCCCAGGTTGATGTTGGTCCCAAATGTACACTGACACAGAAGCTGGACTACGGTGTGGACGTAACACTGACGTTTGGTCGACAACTCGGACGTCCACTGACCAGAGTACTGGACATTGAACCCTGATGCTGCTTTAATCAACCTGTCAAAGAGTGTTTACGTGTTATAGTTTATAATTAACATAATCTGATTGACTGATACTGATTGGCTGTCCATGAGATATATACAAATATACTCATATAGTCTAGCTACAAGTGAGGGACCATTCTGATATTGAACCCTGATGCAACTTTAACCAAGCTAGCTTTCCATGTTATATTATATATTTAATATGATCTGATTGACAACACCAGGGTCCAGCTGTTCAAAAGGTCATTAGCTTAATCACTGTTTAACTTCATTTTCAACCTCTAACAATTTGGTCAATATACAACGTAGAAACTCGTAATTTTGCATATAATTTTACTCTAAAATATTTGGTTCTGAAAAGTTTTAACTCTGTTAATAAATAGTGGTGTTTTAAAGATACACAAGTTTGTTTGCACTAATCACTGATCAAGCTAATCAACTTTTGAACAACTGGACCTTGCAATTTTGGTGCCAAGTTTTAATGAAATCAGATAAAAAATTTGAACTTCCCTGTAAAGTAAAGGATCATCATTATCAATTATAAAATAATAAAATATAAGTTATTCATTTATGAGAGAGAAAAATACACGAAACATCAGCAATAACAGGACTTATATGATCTTGTTTTGGTTATCACAGAGTCAATGGGTGTTCCAGTATTGCCCGCACGTGCAGGTACAGACCTAGTTCCTAGAGCTGTCGACGACGATCTCTCCACCAAGACACACCCAGGGTCACATGTCTGAAGCAGCCAATTACAGGCATGGCGGAAACTGTCGGAGGCCAATGGCTGCCAATCATACTTTTCTGCTATCTGCATCTTCTGCTCTAGCATTGGAATCTAATGGAAAACAAATCAAAGTCATAAAGAGTGGAATCTAAGTGAAAACAAATCAAAGTCATAAAGAGTGGAATCTAATGGAAAACAAATCAAAGTCATAAAGAGTGGAATCTAAGTGAAAACAAATCAAAGTCATAAAGAGTGGAATCTAATGGAAAACAAATCAAAGTCATAAAGAGTGGAATCTAAGTGAAAACAAATCAAAGTCATAAAGAGTGGAATCTAATGGAAAACAAATCAAAGTCATAAAGAGTGGAATCTAAGTGAAAACAAATCAAAGTCATAAAGAGTGGAATCTAATGGAAAACAAATCAAAGTCATAAAGAGTGGAATCTAAGTGAAAACAAATCAAAGTCATAAAGAGTGGAATCTAATGGAAAACAAATCAAAGTCATAAAGAGTGGAATCTAATGGAAAACGAATCAAAGTCATAAAAAGTAAACAATAAAAAGTAATGTACTCACATTACCAAAACATAATATGTAATCAGCGGTGTTTGTAGGGCTGTGTTAAGTTATAACACAGAGAATTAGTTAAATTGAAGTGATTGTTCTGAGATACATGTTCAGTAAATTTCATAAAGCATCTTTTCTTATCTTACACAAATAAAAACACTATTTTATAAATATTGCAGCATCAAGAAGTTTACATTATTTTTTTCAATTTAAAACTTTGTTTCTTTCCATAATGCATAAATCTATGATCCTGTTTAATTTGTAAACAGTAGTTTAAAACACAGTGTTCCTTCAAGCGATTGTTTGTAAACTTACTGCCAAAGCCTTGTTAGAGGTTAGTCATCAAATATGTTTTTTACTATAATGACACAAGTAAAGCACAACCAGACAATACCGATATATATACTTATCCTTAGCTGATCTCCCCCTACCTCGATGTGTTTCTGATCCCCGAAGCTCTGTATGAGGAGGGTGAGGACACAGTTGAGGACCTTGGTCGGTCCCTCCCCGGGGTATGACTGGGCGTAGAACTGTAGCACACTGGTCCAGTCAACTTGACACACGATGTAGGCAAGTAACTCAAAACTCTCAGCATTGTTGGTGTCCTTCAGCTGTAAATTCAGATATTTCATTTTAATTGCATTTTGAAAACTTGCGTAAAACTCTTATAAAGCTAACCAGGCTTTGAAAACTTTGGTCAAGACTTTAAAATATTCAACTTCCTCTACACAATTTTATGTGAATTGAACATGTGTATAAGATTCAAACACCTGTCCATAATGGATAACAAATGTTGTGTTCCACAATAAACAGACTAGACATGTCAGAAAAAAATCATTGTTAGTTACTACTGTGCAAGTCTGTCAGATCTGAAGAGATACTTATTACCAGTAACGATAATTAGAAACGAATAGGTAATTGCCGTTGTACTTATAATTTACCTGCATCATTGATTCCAGGACGGGGATGTTTGGGGTGAGTCGGTCCCAGGGCAGGTGTCGTAGGACCTCAGTGTAGACCTGTGTCACATGTGCAGGTGTGGTCTTGGTACACAACACGCAGGCAAAGTACTGCCACACCTCCGACAGGATGTCGCGCTGGTACGGCACACATACATCTGTATAATAACACCGTTTCAAAGTCAACCAGGGGCGAATTTATCATAACAGCATCTATATAGTGAACTATACATTGTAAACAATGCCTAGTTATTCAAATGTGAACAGTGAAATTAGCACAAGGATAATATAAATTTTACTTTTGAAGAGTAAATGGTAAACTGGTCACAAACCTTTCCCGTGTACAGTACAAACATATTTACCATGAAATGCTAACACATGCTTCATAGAATATCAATGTGAGCCATGGCAGTTCATACTGTCATAATGTTACATGTGAGCGGTCACCCATCCAACTACCGACCGCGCTCGACATTGCTGAACTAGCTAGCAGGTCCCCAGGAGGTTATTGTGCATGGCTGGAAAAGCTAGCTTGCCAGTAAGGCAGTATTTGTCTCTCAAATTCCATATCTGTTATATACTCTATTTCCCCCCTTCAAAGAGTCTCATTCTGAGACTTGGCCTTGAGAATCTGGTAGGTTTTCCCTGTGTATCAACGCACCTTCCCTTACCACCGGAAACTGTCCTAACATGATAACACAGAGCCACTACGCTGACACCAAATGTAACGTGCGGACGGTCACCCATCCAACTACTGACCACGCTCGACGTTGCTGAATTAGTGAGCGGGTGCCCACGTTATATTAATCATATCCCATTGCTAGAAAAGTTAGATGCCAGTAAGGCAGTATATTCTCTCAGTTCTTAGCTGTTACAGCGACGATAAGTGCACATTTATTGGTATAAGTATGTTCACAGATAACATGTTGTACAAAATCTCTCCTTTTCTGAAATACAGCTTTACCTGATCAAATCAAGCGTAATTTTGACCACATTTCTGAGTCCTACCTAAACATGGTTTCCCTGAAAAAAGAAGTTTTCACTTACACTGAAAGGTTGTGTAGATATTATACAGAACATGTCGAAAGGCCTTCACCATCTCTTTGCCAGACTCCGCGTCAGCCTGTATCCATGGATACAGAGTACCCTCCTGTTTGGAGAGGGGCTGTATCCAGGGATTGAAGGTCTCTAGTGTCGTCTGCCACAGCAAGTCCAGTACTGCCAACAGGTAAAGTATAAACGATTTGAAATAAGGATTGACTTTCATGTTGACGGCGTATACAATAGCATGAATGCAGTGGGCATATTTTATGGTGCTAATTAATGTGCAGAGAGAGTTGATTAAGCTGGAGAAGGGAGAGATGTAAATATATAGCTTGAAGTTATATAATTTAATGTGAATGGTACTTTATCCAAAGTTTTGGAAAATAAAGACGAATTAGACCAGAATGGGTACCTTGGTTAAAGTTGCCGTCCTGAATTTGTGGTGCCATCTTGTAAGTGACACAGACGAGCAAATCCCTGATGGTACACTTGAGATAGGGAATGTACTGCTGTAGGCTGGGGTAAAGACCAAACATGGACAGGTCATGCGAAGACATCCTCAGCTGGAGGTAGTACGCCCCTATCCACTGTAGCACCTCACGTACCTGCGAATCATAGGTAAATAACAACTTTACTTTAAGTGTAGGAGAAGTCTTATACATTGTACTGGTATCTACCCATGAATTATATCACCTATAAAATATCTTCCGACCTGTCCTAAAGCAAATGGTCATCACATTTGCATTATCTTGTGTTTGTTTCCCTTACTGGGTGTGGAGTCACGTCTCCATCTGTGCTCACCTGGTAAGTTGACAGGTCTATGGTTGCATTACCTCTTGGTCAGTTTGTTAAACAGTGGACCCACCATCTGAACCATAGATTTGATAGGTCTGTGGTCAGTATAATCTTCAGGACACCTGTATTTATAAGTAAGCTCCCTCTGCAAAAACCTTTTTAGTTGACAGGTCACTGGTCAGTATAATCTTTTGGTCATTTTCCTTACAAGGAAACCTCACTGTTTGTACCTACCAGTCAGATGACATGCCTGTGGTCAGTATCACCTCTTGGTCACTTTTCGTACTTGGTGACCCCTTCCCCTGTACTTACCTGGTCAGTTGTCAGGTCTGTGGTCAGTATCAGCTCTTGGTCACTTTCCTTACTTGGTGACCCCTCCCTCTGTACCTCCTTGTCTCCAAAGCATGCCATATGAAACAGATTCCAACATTTCACATGGATCTGTTGCTGGTCTGAACCTGTCAAATTATCATGGAAACATTGATCAGCTATTTTTGTGAATTATTTTGCAAAATATATTACCGTATATGACTGCAAATAAGCCCCCAATCCCTAGTGAACAAAGATTGATCGAAAGTAGGACAAGGGCTTAATTGCTTAATTAAGGCAATTTTAAGTCTCTGACCATGTGACAATTTTATTTAGTGTTTTTATCACATAGCCAAAGATATTATATCAGATGTTTAAAATCAGCCCGTGTCACATCACAGAGTACTATGACAATGATGACACAGCCAAAACAGCTTTCATTTGCTTTTTCCTTGACAAGTTTTTGATGAAAAAGTGTCAGCATAGATCATTTAGTGATTCACTGTCCACCCCTTCAGAACCTCAACAGCAACTTGCATCAACTCTCATCCTCCACTTCCCTTATTTACATCCAGCAATGCTGGTTTTTGAACCCCACCTCCTCAATATATTCAGCAGTGATGGATCTCCCCTTGTACATCCAGCATAGTTTTTTTCTCACCCCCGACCTCCACCTCATCCCCTTTTACATCAATCATAGTCTTTTCTCACCCCCGACCTCCACCTCATCCCCTTGTACATCCAGCATAGTTTTTTTCTCACCCACAACCTCCAACCCCATCCCCTTTTACATCCATCAAAGTCTTTTCTCACCCCCGACCTCCACCCCATCCCCTTTTACATCAATCATAGTCTTTTCTCACCCCCAACCTCCACCCCATCCCCTTTTACATCCAGCATAGTTATTTTCTCACCCCCGACTTCCATCTCATCCCCTTTTACATCAATCATAGTCTTTTCTCCCCCCCGACCTCCACCCCATCCCCTTTTTCATCAATCATAGTCTTTTCTCACCCCCACCCTCCAACCCCATCCCCTTTTACATCCATCAGCCTTTTCTCACCCCCGACCCCCACCCCATCCCCTTTTACATCAATCAGTCTTTTCTCACCCCCAACCTCCAACCCCATCCCCTTTTACATCCATCAGTCTTTTCTCACCCCCGACCTCCACCTCATCCCCTTTTACATCAATCATAGTCTTTTCTCACCCCCGACCTCCACCCCATCCCCTTTTACATCCATGATGGTTTTTTCTCACCCCCGACCTCCACCCCATCCCCTTTTACATCTGGCATACTTTTTTCTCACCCCCGACCTCCACCACATCCCCTTTTACATCCATTTAGAATTTTGATTCAGACAATACTTACCCTGTAGCAGAATGTTCAGGACCACCATTACATTGCTGGGAAATCTGTGCTGGAGCAGCCTGTTCATATGTGTACAGTAAATCTGAAAATATAGAGAGTGTCTTGAAGAATGGGTTGGCCCCGCAGCTGTACAAGTACGTACCTCAAACACTAGCTCATGCTTGCTGTCTGAGTTGGCCCCACAGCTGTACAAGTACGTACCTCAAACACTAGCTTGTGCTTGCTGTCTGGGTTGGCCACACAGCTGTACAAGGACGTACCTCAAACACTAGCTCATGCTTGCTGTCTGAGTTGGCCCCACAGCTGTACAAGTACGTCCCTCAAACACTAGCTTGTGCTTGCTGTCTGGGTTGGCCCCACAGTTGTACAAGTACGTACCTCAAACACTAGGTCGTGCTTGATGTCTGGGTTGGCCCTGCAGCTGTACAAGTACGTACCACAAACCCTAGCTCGTGCTTGCTGTCTGGGTTGGCCCTGCAGCTGAACAAGTACGTAACTCAAACACTAGCTCGTGCTTGCTGTCTGGGTTGGCCCCGCAGCTGTACAAGGCTCGTCCTAACACCTCTCCATATCGCTTAATCTCCGTCAGGGCAGGAGTGGACTTTGTCAGCCATTCATCGATGTCAAACTGTCAACACATCATTTTAATACATTACAGGTATGTATTATAATATCCTTTTAAGTCAAATAATTGCAATGTTAAAGAGTTTTTCTGAGGCTTATTGTGAACATCTAAATAAATTCAAATGGATGTCTAAAAGACTTCCTTGAATTTCTGTAAGCAAATTAATATTCTTCATTTTAGCTATTTTAGCTACATAACATTTATGATCATATTCCGTTTTGGCTTCACTCCACCAAAGTTAAACCTCAAACAAACATTCCTGTAAAATATCAGCATGCTATTGCACACATTGAAGCATGGCAAGCCTTCACACAAACTACCCCGAGATCTTTTACCCACGCCACCGCTAATGTAGGGCTTGAAGCATTAGCTCTCCGTCATTTGACAATGTTAACGAGGCTACTGGTATTTTACCTTTGTCAGAAGTGTAAATACAAGGTGTGGGGCCTGCTGCTGTAGGACCTGAACCAGGCGTTCGTACATGGCCACATAAAGCTGGGCACTGTTGAGCGGGATGAAATGTGGCGACATGTGGCCGGCCAACGTTGGGTTGTCCAATGAGAACTGGAGTACAAACTCTGTCTGACTTGGGTTTTGTTGTATGAACTCCTGTAAGTAACCATGGCAACAGAATAATTATATATAACAAGGATCACAGGCTATTAGTGACAAGACTAAAACGTTTCACAGATGTAAAAGAGTCTAGGTATGAATCAACAGCAGGGCTTTCCACAAATGACCCTTAGACCGTCATCCATGCCCATGATAGTGTAGGAGCTACAGCATTAGCTCCCTGTTATTGGTATTTATGTATGACATGGTTTTACTTAAAAACAGAGTTCAGCAATGGCACATCTCACCCTGAAATTCTGTAAAAGGTTTAGAAATATTTGGAAAAATGAGAGTTGAGATAATGAATTGTGATAACAAGGCAAAGTATTGTGAGTAATCGAAAGCAATCCAACTGGGACCTCAGAGTGGGAGATATCATCAGAATAAAAAATGTTCTCTTCTTCTTTTATCAGTAGTATAATTGTACAAACTCATGGACATATTTAAACACAAAACAGGGTACCCTCGACTATGACTGAAAGAGGTATCTACAAATATACCTATTAATGATACAACTATTTGAAAAGCAAATAATCTTCTAACCAACACTTCTATTGCAATTAAGGTCAAACAGCATACCTTTCCCAGTAAGTCCATACATGAGGAGAAGAACTGTTTAGTGGGAGGGTAAAACTGGATGTCATCGTTGAAGGATTCTGCCACGTGGAAGAAGAGTGAGCATGCAACGTCGTTGTAGTGAGACAGGAGGGCGTCATCTGTACAGCTCCGCGACAACTTCACCAGCATCCTACAGTTACAACACAAGGCAACGCTTTTAAAATCTCTTAATGCCCATTTTTCTTAAAAGACAGAATTGTCTTAATCGGGGGATGATGTTTTGTAATGAACCACATATTAAGTGGAACTTAGTCTGAGGTGTTCTGAACAATCATCTATTAGACAATGAGATAATTAATTTGTTTAATAGAATAGTTTACAGCGATTAACAATGTCAAACTGATTAGGATGCCACAATTTAATAGAGGCATGACCTGGTGCCGCTTCAGAGCAAAATTGGCCCCTTTTGCGTATCCGGTTCAACTGGTTTGTCTGCTTTTAAATGTAACATTTTCAGGTATAAATCCTGGCAGATCTGCTTAAAATGGTAACGCAGGTCTTCCAAGACTTTATCAAAGCTTGCCTGAAAGCGGCATCAGATTACTAGGTCCAACCTTAATTCATAAACAAACAACCCTGGTTCAACCAGTCCAACCGTTTGGATCGCGATAAATGAATGCGGCCTAGGTGCATGTGTTCAGTATACAGAAGGTAGTTCCAACTTGTCAACAAGAGGTCAAACATGACCTAACACCTTTGACCTTTTAACTTTGACCGATGACCACCAAAATGTGCATAGGTTTGGAACTTGATGTTACCATACTATTGTGTAAATATAAACTGAATCTGTTCTAGGGTTCATGAGCTATCTTGTCCATATCCATTTACTTAAAAAGTGGTCAAGTGTGAGCTTTGACAATTTAACCTTGACCAATGGCTCCAAAATCTAATAAGGTGCAGAACTTATGTTACCATACCAAGTAAATGTTGTTCATAGGAGGCATTAGAAATCTAATATTTCTACTCCTAATCAAAACTATTTTCCCAATAGAATTATATGACAAGTCTGTATAAAACTGTCTCGGGACTGACTACTCACGTGATGGCGTTCTCCAAGTGAACAACAGACACACACACAACCCGTGGGGGAGGGTTGTGTCCCTCTATCATCAGCTGTTTGAACTCGGCTCGATTCTCGTCAGTCTGTCTCTGGACCACCTCATCTGTAGCCTTCTCCCTGATCTGTTAAGGTAGAACAGAAGGAAAGAACAACATTTTCATTAAGTTTTCCATGATTCCTTTCTTACTTCAAACTTTATTTATACCAATTTTTTAAGTTATATGATAAAATGTCTTTATGAGTCATGGATTTTTTCCAAAAGACCAAGTTCAAAAGCTGTTCCTCAGGAGCCTTTTAAGAAATCTATTATTACGTTTTAAAACTTCTGATGCAACCCTTACAAAAGTTTCACAGAATAAAGAATCAATTTGTAAAATATATAAATGATTTAATGCTAAAATAGAAGCTGAAAGATCTCAAAACACTTTGGTTTCATATAAAAATTGTGTAAACAATTGTTGAAATGTTTTTTACTTTATTAGTAACTTTCAATGTTTTATTTTAGTCTGTCTGCATTGCAATCTTTTATTGTGGTCAAGATGATTCTTTCATCTAAAACAAATTTCAGATATTTTACTGTTTCATTTGACATTTGAGAAGATCAAGCATTTAGTCGAAATGTGATTTGAATAAATGAAAATGTTTTTGAGAAATGATCGAACATGGTTTTACTATATCTTTTTACTAAAACTGTACTCACATTAACGTGGACGACTGCCGGGTTAGAACACTTGTGTAGGGGGTTGATGACACTCTTACACTCTATGGTAACCTTCACCTGAAACAAATGTAATAGAGGTCGTTAATTTTTCAAATCCTCTTGTAGGACTCAAACATTGGGACCTCTGGCTTACTAGTCCTAGGCTTTACTGAATGAGCTAGAGAGAAATTCTCCCTAGCCGAGTCAGTAGGAAGCGACTAGTATTTTAGGGTGACACAGATGCAGCATGAGAAAGTAGATAGCATTGATGTTTGTTTGTTCGTCATAAACAGCTACAGTCAAGTCGGCATTTGCAGATAATATATATCTATATAAGCACTGCAAGAGCCACTTTGAAGAACCATCTCAATGAAATGTCTAGCTCAAGTTTCTTCTGACCCCAATGCAGCTAGGCTGTGAAACATTATAACCTCAATAGAGGAACATAACACCTCTATCACCCGTCACATAATCCTGACATCGGCTAACTAGATCAGCTTGGGAAATATCAAAGGAAAGAATTAAAAGTGAGAGGGAAAAAGATGAAAAATCGTAAGCAATAAAATTTGGGAAGCAGATCAATATTTTGTCCTTCTTTGTCCCCAATAAGAAGCAAGAGAAGAAAAAACAAGAGGCCCAAGAGGGCCTGTATCGCTCACCTGAATATTTAAGCAGTCATAGCAAAATATTCTCATTAAATATTATATTGCACTAAAAATATTTCCCTCGCAAACTTTGTTGGCTCCATCTGTTGAAACTACCAGCAAAATATTATTATAAGATTCTATGCTTTTTGATTCTTCTTCAGAAGTTGCT